GGGGGGGGTGGGAGGGGGGTTTACACTGCCTTTTCTTTTAATATTACATGTACTTTCACGCTGAATCCATATGGCACATACTTTCGTTTCTGATATTCAGGATTAAAAGCAAAAGTAGTCAGAACTAAACCTATAATAAACCAGCTGACATTGCGATATCATCTCTGCCTTAGGCTGTAGCTGAGCCTGACCTAAAAACAAAGTTCGTCACCTCGTAACCGTGTCAGCGATCTCTGCCAACTGGGGGAAATCTTTAACTATGTGCATCCATCTTTCCTCTGGTGGAAGATCCAAGTTGAGAGTGTAAACTTTCGGCTTTGTCGGGACGTCCGAAGAAACCAAAACCGTGACAAATACAATAAAAACACAGCAGTAAAGAGAGTGCGACAGACGTCCCATACTGGTCAGAGTGGAAGTCCCGAATTAGCCAGCCTCGTTTTAGAATCTAGGCCAATTATAAAATTTGTAGAATGTCTATTTTTAGTCATGACGATACAGCCTGTACAGTTGCACATGAACTACAGGCGCAAGACTCATGAACCGAAAAACACACAGAAATCGGCGATAAAAATCGGTTGAGAATTTTCAAACAAATTTAATAAATCACTGTACAAGACATAGAAAATTTTCACCAGCATTAATTTATATATTTTAGATAAGATTTATCTGATATTGCATGGGTCCAAAAATAAATTATTTGAGTTGCATAATAAATACTAGTACTGGTAAGTTAAATAATAAATAAATAAATGACGACTGATTTGGTGATCTTTGACGATAAACATGAATTCCAAAATACTGAATTTGAAACCAGTGTGCATATTTTCTTGTATTCCTTTCATCTACATGTACAAATGTAGGCCTACATGTCTAGGCTAATGCGACAGGTGATCCTGAGGATACTTGAGCAAATGCCCTTATGTTTATTTGTGATCAATGAAAAAAAGAACGGATTGCACATACATGCTATCATTTTGCTTATTTTATTTGTGGGCACAGTTATCGACATCACCACAAAAATGACAATTTACGCGCAAATGGCAAAATGTTTAATCATTATCAAAAGAATTTTAAAGAATGAGAGCATCAATTGGATAAAATCAAATCAACAGATGCAATGTATGGCCAAAGGCCCAGGGGCGTTTTGAGCACATTAAATATTAATGCAACGGATCTTTGTCCGACCAGGGGATTTTTTCACATATAATTCCTTGGTCCGACCAAGGTCGTAAATAGCTAGCCCTTGGTCCAACTAAATAAACCAGATTCAGCTATCTATGACTTGGTTGCTTGCTTGTTGCTTTAAGCCATCCATTCATCTCCTTATTCTTTCCTTTATTTACAATATGTTGATAACCATTTATCTAGCTATTGTTCGATTCACTACTGGTACAAATCGAATTTAAAGCGGATGCGGTGATTTTTATGTCGAAAGGAAAAGCTGGGTCCATGATTAATTTATCAAAAAGGTTGCCAATGTACTACCCCAACATTCTTAATTAACTGAAAGTGTAAAAGAAAAATAAAAACGGACAAAGTAGTTGGCCCTCTGCTCCAACATTCTCTTGAGATTTAATAAAAATTAACTGAAAGTGCAAAAGAAAAAAACGGAATCTGTCATTTCCGCATCTCACATAGCCCATGACCATGTACACGTACATGTACTTCATAAAACCTTTGCGTAAGATCAACGAGTTACATGTTTACAATTCCTTGGTATAATCTAGATGCGAACTCATTTAGTGATCACCATGATATTCCTTTTTATAATGACTTTCGTGTGAAGGCACAGTGCTATTCATACATATATTAATTATTATTATGGAGAGAGGTCCGTGTCTCTGTATAATCTGTTCCAGATCATGAATGTTCTTCCAGGAAGCTCAAGAGGTAGTCCTAACAAACTGCACAGGACGTGACACATATGTCTACCCTGAGAGTAAAGTTTACTTCGTTGTATCTTGGCTAGATGCATATTCAATCAGCTTTAATGAAAGGAAATAATCGATTAAGTTAATCCTACACGTTACCAACACGTGTAGTCAAAGGACAGTGCTCTGTTTATAGTGAACATGGAAACAATTTTCAAATAAGCTGAATGTTTTACCTGCATGTATCATGCTCATAAATTTTCATTAGCTGTTGCTGAGTGTCGTCTTGGTGTATATTTACTTATTTAACTGTGCATATTCGCCAGTTCGTACTAGTAGGCCTACATGCTTGTGCATCAGCCGCAAAAAAAGATCTATTTATAATTTTATCTATGTACACATCAGTCCCTGCACCCTGAACCTCAGGTCGATCGAAATTCAAAGTCGTACACGGTAGACCGTTGAAAGACGTGAAATAAGCCTATGGTGGATGAAAAGATCAGTCTCATTTACCACTGAGTAAAGGCGTGCAAGTGTTCATCGGAACATAGCTACATGTAAATTATTCACGACTCCTCGAAGGTTCATGCAATACTGAGTTCTAGTAAAAAAAAAAAAAAAAAAAAAAAAAAAAAACTTCCATCACCATCTGACTCTTAAGCGGTCTTGTGAGGATGAGTGAAATGAAACTTCATATCAGAACCAAGGTGCAGATCACGGATTTCCGCGGGAAATGACTAATAAGCTCTGGTTTAAATAGAATGACCTAGACTAGCGTGCAGAGGGACGTAAGATAGATCTACCCAACTTTTGGCAAACGTCAGTCATTTCAGCACACGTACACTGTAGGAATAAAAATGATCACCCTAGGATTATTGAACTCAAAACTTGGAATCGTCAAATTAAACCGAACAAACAAAGAAATGTCATGTAATAACTAACAAATATAGCCTCATGCATCAAGCATTTCTTTCTACCCCGGCCATTAGATTTATACGAAGTATGAAAACAGATAGTTGGCGACGATTAAGAACAAAAAAGGTAGAGGGCATTACAAACCAATTCAAAATGATGGTGTGTGAAACACTCCAATATTAAGTGTCGATAAGGGTGAATATCAAAACCCAGGCACGAGCAAACGCCCATCGTTATCTTTTAACATGCAAACCTATATTTGACATATTTCCAATTCAACTATTTTGAATCCTGAATTGTTATCGTGCCTGTAATGTCAAGTGTGACCTAGATTAGACATTGTGGCTTACATGTAGGGTATTTTGCTCTACGCTGTTCATTCATTCTCTCAAAAAGTCCCAGTTGTGCACAGAGGGAAGTTTACGCGCCGTCTCAGAACAGAGGCCTCGATCGAGACGCCTGTTTCTCCATCGAATTTATAGTGAAAGTGAGGCTTGTAGCGTGAAACCACCGGGAAGTGCCCATCTTTTATTTCTTAGTACATGTTGAATGTGATAGATCGAGAGAGATGCACTGATACCTGAACAAGGGTAGTTATTAGAGTGTATATACTTATTCAGTCTGATCCTACAATATATGTAGCTGGCTCTAGAAGCAACGTAAAGCTGGACAGAGCGTCTAAACCTTGATTACCCGTCAGCTGCACATAGGCGACTGTTAGGCCCTATTGAACTCTTAACTTTGACAAAAATTTCCTGCCAATCGCCAACGGTGCCATGGAGAACAGCAATTCAACAGAGGAATCGGACTCTGAAAGTGATATGTCCTTTAAAGTGATCATGATAGGGAAGTATGGAGTAGGAAAAAGTTCATTATTCCGTCGGTTCATGAAGCAGGGTTATAGTGGAGCCATAACCAGGAAAGACACTATAGGAATGGATCACTACAAGCGAACCTTCATCATTGATGGACATGACATAAAGGTAGGTGTTGATGACGCCCTCGTTACTACATATTACACGTAGTGATGACAGCGTCATTTCCCCTTCCTCTCTCTCTCTCTCTCTCTCTCTCTCTCTCTCTCTCACACACACACTAGCACACACACACTAGCGCGCGCACACACACACACACACACACACACACACACACACAGAGGTGGGAGGGGGGCTCACACCCATCCAGCTGAGGCTGTATGCTTATGGCAGAGTAACCAGAGTTAGCCCATGCTAGCACTCATAAATCTTGAGAGGAGTTTGGGGTGCAGATCCGGCATAAGTAATAATTTTCATCAACTTCATTCCAACAATTAGTCGAATATGTGACACATGTTAGATTCTTAAAGATTAAAGATTCTTAAAGACGTGAATCTATAGGCCTTGA